GAGGGGGAAGCATCCAGTCAGCCTATCACAGGACAATCTGGATCTCCAGGAAATACCATGTTGGCATCACAGTGTGCCAGCTACAAGACAAGAAGTACTGCCTCCACGTTGCAGCACAGGATTCATCCTGGTGTGGCACTGTACGATAAGCACCGGACTGCTAAAGGCAAGGTCGGTGGTTCAAACCCACCTGCAGCTCATTGGAAACCCTATAAAGGATCACCATGTGTTGCAACCAAATTGCTGGCACTTAACAACAACAACAATTGAGATCACTGAGAATAGGAGTATAAGGTCAAAGAAGATATTTTTGAATGAGGAACGGAAGCAGAAGAAACCCTGGTAAGTGCAGTGGATTATGAGCTGGGCTGCTAACTGCAAGGTCAGTCATTGAAACCTATCAGTCACTCCTGGGGAGAAAGATGAGACTTTCTGCTCCCATAAAGATCTACAGCCTTGGAAACCCTATACAGGGTCACTATGAGTTAGAACTGACTCCACTGTATCCAACCACCACCACCACCACCACACCAACAAAGCAAAGTGAAGCTGGGGTCAGCTTATTATTTTTGTAGCTCTTGATTTCTTATCCAGCACTCCAAAAAGCAATAGATGCTAATGGATTTGTTTTTCTCAGTGTGTATTTGGCCCATATTTATATCACAATCCCTGGGCTTTGATTTATCAAATCATTCCCCTACCCTGGGGGTATATTTAATGTCCATAAATCCTAATCATGCTTTCCACCTACAACGAAAAAGTATCCCATGGAATATTTAGAAATCAGATATACATGAATCCTAACAGGAAAGAATCAAGACACATGTCCAGCTTCCACTGAAGTCTCTAGAACATTCTGTAACATTTCTCCTTCCCCCAGCTTTCCAGAAATTAGAAAACTAATATTTTGAAAATTAGTCTAGTCAAGTTTCTGGTGAATAGACTGTGACTCATGGTAACCCCATGTGTCAGTACGGAACTGTACTCCAGTCAGTGTCTGATTTTCAGACTAGTTCACCAGGTCTTTCTTCTGAGGTACCCGTGGACGAACTCAAACCTCAAAACTTTCAGTCAGCAGTCAAGGCTATAACCATTTACACCACTTAAGGACTGCAAGAAAATTACTAGTGATGGTCTTTCCTCAGAAATGAGGGGGAACGTCTTGATTCTTTTTGCTGGCAACTACCCAATTTTCTCTATGGAAGTGGTGAGAAAGCTACTGAAAGCTCAGAGTCAAATATCACTGTTAATCATCAAAAAATTATGTTCCTCCCTTTGGAAAGCCTCACTTATTATAAGCTGTTATCAGAAAGACAGAGTCTGCTTCTAGGAGCATTCCAACTCAGGCACATCATGAAGATAGTTTGTTTATTTCATTTTATTTTATTTTTTATCTTGGGCTTTGGGTTGAGGGAACCTGATGCGCTTCTGCAATTTGAAGTTCAGATTAGAATCAGAAATCAGAGAGTACATTTCCAGTGGATTTTGCTTTTTGAGCTCAAAGATACAATGTTAACAAGCTTTGTCCGCTGCTCTTCCTCATATCCTATTGAGGGAGTTTACAGTGAGAATCTAATATAAAAACCACATTGAGAGTAATCAATTTATGTTACCAGAGCCTGTACGTCAGAAGCTACCACTAGGGGGACCCAGAGTCCCTGTGCTCAGTGAGGTTGAAGTTTCTGGCTAGTGTAAAAAAAAAAAAAAAAGATTATTAGTTGAATTTCCTCCCTGCTCTTGTGGAGTCCTGGTAATAGTTCTGCAGGATATGCTCTGGGCTGCTAATTGCAAGGTGGGTGGTTCAAACTCACCAGCTGCTTCTTGGAAACCTTATACAGGGTCACTGTGCGAACCAACTCAATGATACAACAGCTTGTGGCATAGACATTGGGCTGCTAATCACCAGACTGGCAGTTTAAACCCACCAGCTGCTCCATGGGAGAGAAAGATGAGGTTCTCTGCTCCCCCAAAGATTTATAGTCTTGGAAACCCTATATAGTGTCACTATGAATCAGGAGCAGCTTGATGGCACTGGGTTTTTTTGTTTGGTCTTTCTCCTTAGGAGTCCCTGCAAATAATTAATATACTCGCCTGCTAACTGAAAAGTTAGCGGTTGGAGTCCACCCAGAGTTGGACCCAGAATAAAAGCTCGTAGATCTACTTTCAAAAACTCAGCCATTGCAAAGCTGATGAAACACATTTCTACTCTGACATGCAGGGGGTTATCATGGGTCAGAATTTCCCCAACAATCCCTTCTTCTGCATTCTCTTTTATTGTTGTTTTTAAGTGCCATGGAATTGGTTCTGACTCACATTGACCCAGCATAGGGTTTCTGAGAAGCAGCTGATGAATTTGAACCGCCAACCTTGTGGTTAGCAGTCCAGTGCTTATCCTACAGCGCCACACCAGGACTCTGTTATCCTTTATACTCACATACAACTCTACCACAAAAAGCCAAAGCCCACTGCTGTTGATCAATTTCAATTCATTGTGACCCTAAAGGAGAGAGTAGAACTGCCCCATAGGGTTTGCAAGTCTGCAAATCCTTACAGAAATTGAACGCCACATCTTTCTCCTGAAGAGAAGCTGTTGGGTTCAAGCTGCTGACTTAGTAGTTGAGCACTTTAAACACTGCACCACCAGGGCTCCTTAACTGCCATAGAACTCCTAAACATTAGGGACAAGATACAACTAATCCTGCTAACTTCTGCAGCATGTATTCTGTATTTCACAACAATCATGTTCTTTAAAGCCCAGCTGATGAGGAACCCATTCTTTTTATTCCACAAGAAGGAGAGGATTTCTCTGAGCTCCATTTATAGTCTTTGACTCACGTTTTTATTGTTTGTTACATTTTTTAAACCTGATGCAAACGTTTATGCCACCGTAAAAGAAATGTGTTAGTAGTTATGGCCTTGCCTATTGACTGTAAGGAGGCAGGAATATAGAACCAGTGACTTTCATTTGAAAAGGAAGTCTAGGTTTCGGTGACTCGTTTATGTTGATGAAGAATTCGAGATTGGTTGTTGACTTTACATTTTCAGATTATATAAACTAATCTTGAGACTCAAGGTGAAGACCAGAAAGCACTAAAGGACAGATTATGTAACTAAATATAAAGACTCAGTGGTGGTTAGTTGATAGATCATTCTAAAGAAGGATTTTCATCTTCTGTGCGGGAGACCTGGATTCAGTTCCTGGACAATACACCTCATGTATAGCCACCTCCTGTCTGTCAGTGGAGGCTTGAGTGTTGCGTACGATGCTAAATGGGTTTCAGAAGAGCTTCCAGACTAAGAGGAAAGGTTTGGTGATCTACTTTCAGAAATAAGCTATGGAAAAATCTATGGATCACAACAGACCATCCACGACCCATGAGGATGCTGTGGGACTGAACAGTGTTTTCTTCTATAGTACATTGGGCCACCATGAGTCAGGGACCAACTTGACAGCAACTCATAACGACGTATTACATGATGTTAGCTCCCAGGGCAAATTTCTGCAACCCAGAAGAACAGCAAAACAATGAATTAGAGTTCAAGTTTATACGTATACCTACTTCTAGTTTAGGGAGCGCTGGTTGGCTGTAAGATATGTAGGTACTGGACTGCTAACTGCAAGGATGGCAGTTCAAACCCACCAATTGTGTCTTGGGAGAAGGATGAGAATTTCTGCTTCTGTAACGACTTACAGTCTTGGAAACCCTATACAGAGTCACTGAGTTGGAACCAACTCTATGGCACACAACAACTCTTAGTGTAAGTCAGGGTTTATGGCTCTCTTTTGTGGAATATTACAGGTTAACCTGGGCAAAACATGTTTTGCTGTTGAGAGAGTAGAAAATGTCAAGTTCAGATATGAGTGAATATCAATAATCAATGACTTCAATACAAACTATCTTTCCTAAAACCAATGGCTAGCTGTCACAGCAGAGAGGTCAATGGGTTATGATGAATGCGTCTTCAGTTTTCTTCGTTCCTACTAGACTTATTTATTGGAATGAAATGTAACGTGCATTTCTACAGACAGGAGCTCTGGTAGTGTGGTGGATTATAAGCTGGGTCAGCAGTTCAAATCTACTGGTTGCTCCGCAGAAGGAAAATGAGGCTTTCTGCTTTGGTAAAGATTTACAGCTCTGGAAACCCTATACAGGTTCACTATGAGTTAGAATAGACCCAATGGCAGACAACCACCATCATCACCATGTCTAATCGGAGGTTTAGCATGTAGAGCTTAGCAGATGGAGTGGCGAGAAATGCTAGGCACTCAATTGACATAAATGAAATGTAACATACAACATGCTATCGGTCTTGAGAATGGCTCCCAAAGTAAGGGTGGAATTGCATTTTTATTAAAGCAGTTTGTCAGACTTCCTTTGAAAGGCTTACCTTCTTCCTCTTGGCTTGATAATAAATAACAAGTATTTAGATTAGCAATGTTTTATAGCAAGTTTAAACATGCCTTAGAAACAGATCAAATTTCAATTTAAAAAATATTTGGAAATTTAAAATATACTAAATGGTAAACATACTAAATTTAAAACACACTAAAATATTGGAAATTTAAAATATACTAAGTGGTAAAAATTATACATAATTTTTATGTTCATTAATTTATTTTCCAGTGGGTATCTTAAAAGTTAAGTGGTTAGAATCTTGGCTGATATACTTAAGTTTATAGGACACATATTGTTATTGTTAAGTGCCTTCCAGTTGGTTCTGACTCATAGAGACCCTGTATAGGGTTTCTGAGGAGCAGCTGGTGGATTTGATCTAATGACCTTGTGGTTTACAGTCCAGTGCTGATCCTACAGTGCCACACCAGGAGTCCATAGGACGCATAGGTATGGCATTTCTGAAAGCAAAGGGATTGTGTCAATCAATAGTGGGTGAGAGTAAGTGTTTTCTATTTTACAGTAAATAAGAACATCATACCAGTTAGTTCATGCTTTAAAATGAACATCTCCCCCACAGATATCCCAACATGGAACAGGTCTTACCTGTAGCTTCTACCATTCCTTCTAGAATGACCACAATTTCCAGTTCCTCTTTGGGCAGCTGGGCTTTGGAGATCTCCCAGAAAGGACTCTGTTGGTTAATTTCATGGCTAATGATCAGTGGTGACACCAGAAACAGACGGTCATCCCCTGTGTAATAGCCTACGTTGATATCTGTTTGGTTCAAAGGGATGAACTCCCCTTCCGAGGTCTGTTTGGATTTGATCAACTTGGCTCTGATGGAAGCCTCCACGATGTGGGAATTCCTCAGGTCCCCTACCCGGAACATCAGGCACAGTTTCCCATCCCGCATAGAGATCACTGCATGGGTGGAAAAGACCAGGGTCTCTGCCCTCTTCTTGGGTTGAGATATTTTTACAAACATACATCCCACCATGAATGCATTGACAATGGATCCCAACACAGATTGGATTAAGAGGAGAATAATCCCCTCTGGGCACTTGTCTGTGATAACTCGGTAGCCATACCCGATGGTGGTTTCTGTCTCTATTGAGAATAAAAAAGCAGAGACGAACCCGTTGAGGTTGGTAACACAGGGAGTCCATGCGGGATCCTCTATGTGGTCCATATCTCCTCGGATATAAGCAATTAGCCACCAGATCATTCCAAAGAAGAGCCAAGTCACTGTGTAAACCATGACGAAAATCAATAGGTTGAATCTCCACTTGAGGTCCACCAAGGTGGTGAAGATATCTGTCAGGTAGCGATAAGTCTCCCTCACGTTGCCGTGATGAACATTGCACTTCCCGTCCTTTCTCACATACCTCTGGATTTTCCTTTTGGTCCGATCTCTGCTGATGTGTCTAGGTAGGTCATCTCGAGCTTGCTTAGGCAACTTTGGCTGGTGAATGGCCACAGGACTCTCCACATCCTGATCCATGGAGTCTCCCTCTAGGACATTAGCTGATGGGTTGAATAAAAGAAAAGAAAACCCAAATGTAATGCTGGCTTTTTCAGGGTCATGGAAATCATACATTTTTGTATATGGTGGTGAAATAAGGCACCATTTGTGTACCTACCAAAAGAAGTAAACCAGAAACAAAACCACTGCCCACTGAGTCACTTCTGACTCACATCAATTCCATGTGTGTCAAAGAAGGACTATGTTCAACTATGTTCAATGGCTCACTTTTCAGAAATAAATCACCAGACCTGTCTTCTGAGGCACATTTGGGTAGATCTGAACCACCAAACTTTCTGTTAAGCAGCCAAGAACTGAACTGTTTGCATCAGTCAGGGCCTTCTATTGACAAAGTAGATGCAGACTTTTAGATTGGGCATCATCCTGAGAGGGCTCTAGTTGATTTGGAATTGCCGTAACTATGATCAAGTTGGTGCAAATGCTTCACCAACCTTGCCTGCAGAACAGAGATTACTGCTGTGAAACTCTCTGTTGGCAAGTTCCACCACCTCAGCTCTTACTGTGGGGCGTTTCCCCATCTTTTCGAGAGGAGATATAATGGGAGAGGCAGTATGCTCTGGAGGAAATGAGGAATTTCAGTGTGCTCTGGAGGAAATGATTCAGAAAATCTTGGCTCTACCACTAAGGAGCTCTGGTAGCATAGTGGTTACAAATCGGGCTGCTAACCTCAAGGTTGGCAGTTTGAAACTACCAGCTGTTCACCGGGAGAAAGATGAGGCTTTCTGCTCCCGTATAAGATGTACAGCCTCAGAAACCCTGTGAGTCGACTCCATGGTACTTAACAACAACAACAACAACCACTAAGCAACTGGGCTCTTGGGCATGTCATCTAAATTCTCTGAGGTTTGGTTTCCTCATTTACAAAATGGCGGTCACAAAGCCCAACTCATAGGATTGTTAATACGGTTTAAAGAAACACCATATATCACAGTGTCTGGCAGGAAACAGTTATCGGGACTGTTGTTGTTAAAGAGCTGTTGAGTCAGTTCAGAGTCATAGTGATACTCTATAGGGCTTTCAAGGAACAACTGGAAGCATTGACCTGGAGGTTAGCAGTCCAGAGCTTATTCTGCAGTGCCACACCAGAATTCTGACATGAGGGAATAATAGGTGGAGTTTGTGTGTGTGTTTGTATGTGACTTTTTTCATACTTAGTGTAAGAGTTTTGAGTGAGCTTTATGAATTGCCAATTAAATGTTGTTTTTAACTATATTGTTGTTGTTGTTAAGTGCCGTCGAGTCGGTTCCGACCCATAGCGACCCTGAATAGGGTTTCCGAGGCTGTAAATCTTTACGGGAGCAGATAGCCTCATCTTTCTCCCGCGGAGCAGCTGGTAGTTTCGAACTGCTGACCTTCCGGTTCGCAGCCCGATTCGTAACCACTACGCTACCAGAGCTATATATATATATATATATATATATATATATATATATATATTTTATGCCAAGTTTTTTTTTTTTTTAAAGTAAAAGCATTGGAAAATATTTTCTTTTTGTGTGTTTATACATTTGCTTTGGATCCTATCTCAACATTTCGCATTTAACCTTTCTGATGACCTTCATGATTAGTACACTGGGACAATCATTACTTAATGATCAGGAAAGCTTCCTTGGAATCTGAGTACATAGGGAAATTTAGAACTGATCCTTCTATTAAACATATATAAACCACTGTAAGAAATCACTTGTTCAGACAATAATTGTAAAGCTTCCTACAAGTTTTATGAGCAGTTTCTGCCCCAAGGCTTTTATTCTGTGTCCTTTGATGCTGCCGTGATTTCCTGTATGGTATATTTTCTCCTCGGTTAAAGGAGAAGTGCAGACTGATGAGAAAACATCATGTATCTGAATAAGGAAATAGCTGGAGATGGGACCTGACTGGTACCAACTTAACTTAGAGATTGACCTTTCTCATGGTTGGTTAGTTTCTTTAAAAATCAATTCCATAGATTGGTTTTTATATTTCAGTACAAGAAATAAATATTTCTGGCCTGTAGAGTCTGCTGTTGTGTTGGACAGCTTTGATTTTTAGATCAACACCCTGAATAGCCCTTAATTTGTTAAGGAGCAACTTTGTTCTCGTTCCTTCTTCTTCTGAACAGACACAGGGGCAGGAGTTAGAGACAGGCAGCTGGGGTTGGGACCAGCTGGAGACAGGGAGGGTATCTGGAAGAGGCTCAAATTCAGTATCCCTGCTTACCGCCAGCACCTCCCACTCATAGGGGTATTTTTTGGGCTATGAAAGGTCATGACTGAGCTCCCTCTGCTAATTTTGCCTGGAGTGGGAGTTAATCTCTAAATGTGGTTTTATGTGGGACAACCTTTGGCTCAAGCTCCACAAGGTTGGAAGGTCTTGTTGGCAAGAACACCTCAAGGGTACAGGAAGCTGGCGTGCACCCTTGTCTTGACCACGGCAACGTAACCCTGCGCCCTGGGGTTGGTACTTAAGTGTCAGAAGAGAGTTCATCGGAATGTTGTTGTCTGGTACTATTGAGCCCATTCTGAGTCATGGAGACCTCATGTGTACAGAATAGAACGGCTACATGTGGTTTCCAAGGTTGTGGCCATTTGGAAGCAGATCACCAGGCCTAACTTCTGAGACTCTTCTGACTGGGTTTGAACCATCAATCTTTAGGTTGGTAGTTGAGGTAGTTGGTGGGCAGGAGTGAGTTTATCAGATTAATTTTTCCTTAACAGTCTTTAGTGATAATTTATACTTTAAAAATCTTATGGAGGACATCTGCAATCCCTACAGTTATTTCCCCATTTCTGGAAAAGTGCTAACTGTAGCCATTTTCCCTGAACCTGAATGTTTAGAAGGATAAAGAGTGAGTTAAGTGTTCTGGGCTTTGTGGGGGAGACTGTCAGTGGTTCCGGATCCCCCAAAGCCATTTCCTAGTTCCTAGGAAATGTGACTAGACCACATTTGCAGCCTTCTTTTTTTCTTTTATTTTGTTTAGGGGTGTCTGGTCCAAGACCTTAAACAGGGATGTGGCCCCCATCTTATGTCCTTTCCACCCTCTGGAAATGGATAATGAAGGTGGAGGGGGGAGTGGGGGGAGTTGGTACTGTAGTCATGAGATAGAAGAACTCGGCAGAGACTAGAAGCAAAAAAAAAAAAAATGTTGTTTGAGCCATTATATATTTGGGTATCTGTTATCAAATCCAGCCTTTGACACTTACAAGCAGAGGCGTTATCAGGAGGACTAATTAAAGGCAAGAGCAGGGAGTGTTAAAGATGAAGTATTTGAAAGTTGAAGATGAAGTTATTTAAGTTTGGTACTTGGGGTTAATTGAACTTGTACTTGTCTTTGATGATGGAGAGGAAATGTAAGTGCATATGGTATTTACGTAAACATTGAAAATAAAAAATGGTAGCAAGCAGAGAAAATCAGCCCAATGAGTGGTCTCAGCTGAGTGATGCCCTAAAGACGAGGCTGTAGATGCAGGCAAGATATAGCCACAGGGAGATGGGCAGGAAAAACAGTCTTCAGGGGGACAGAGGCTGCGAGGAGGAACAGACACAGATTTAAGAGAAATCAAATAAACCAATGAAATATGTGAATGGTGCATAGTTAAAACCCAAAACCAAACCGGTTGCAGTTAAGTGGATTTGGACTCATAGCAATCTCATGTGTGTCAGAGTAGAAATGTGCTCCATAGAATTTTCAATGACTGGTCTTTCAGAAACAGATTTCCAGGCATTTTTTCTGAGGTGGGCTCAAACCACCACCCTTTTGGTTAGCAGCTAAGTGTGTTAACCATTTGCAGCACCCAGAATCTCTGGTTGGAGAGTGGATGTGGTGGTGGCGGTGGTCGTGTGCCACGGAGTCAATTCCGATTCATAGCGACCCTGTAAAGGGTTTCTGAGGTTGTAAAAAGGAGAAAAAAAGCCTCATCTTTCTCCTGTGAAGAGCGTAGCTTGTAATCCACTATTCTACCATGGCTCCTTCTTTGGAGACTGGAAGAAGGTTAGGTAGGAGCCTTACGGGGTAAGGAGTCCAATGAGGAGGAAAGAATGTGGAGTTGGTAGGGTTTGGGGTATGGATATAAGGGAAGGGGCAGAGCCCTGTGGCTGTGACCAGAACATCACTGGATAAGGGAGAATGGGCCATCATTCCAGGTCTGAGATAGTACTTCAGAGAGGCATGCATGCAAACATTTGCAAGGAAAACACAGAAGGGAATGTTAATGATGGCTTTTAAGGTTTCTTTCTTTCTTAGAATCCCAGGTGTGAATGTGAGGGAGTGATCTGTATTGTGGCTCAGGAGGGCACACACAGCTGCAGTTAGGAAAGCAGACACTTGCCCTGGCATTCCTGTTCAACTGAACACATAAACACCTTGCCATCACCCTGCCCTACCCGGCCTGTTCAGGAAGAGGCTGTAGCTTTGGCCCTGTTGGTGCGGCCAGGCCGAGTCAGGGAGCTTGGTGGACAAGAGATAATGTAAAGGAATCTCCTTGCTGACTGTATTCTGCAAAAGGATGGGAGGGAGGTCTCTGAGGATGGTTTCCATGGGAGTCCCTGCATGGTGCAAATGGTCAACGTGCTTAACTGCTGACTGAAAGAGTGGAGGTTCGAGTTCACAAAGAGGCACTTCAGAAGAGAGGCCTGGTGGTCTACTTCCAAACAATCAGCCACTGAGAACCCTAAGGGGGTACAGTTTTCTGACATACGAAGTCTCAGTTGAGTAGAAGTCCACAGACAATGTGTGTCTTGTTACTTGGGAGCTGCTTCCCTGGGTGTCTTAATTCTCTAGAGCTGCTATAACAGAAATACCACCAGTGGGTTCCATTAACAACTAGAAATTTATTCTCTCACAGTTTGATGTTGTTAAGTGCCGTTGAGTTGGTTCTGGCCCATAGTGACCCTGTGTAGGGTTTCTGAGTCTGGTGGGTTTGAATCATCAACCTTGCAGCTAGCAGTACAGTGCTTATCCTACAGCTCCACACCAGGTCTCACAGTTTAGGAGGTTGGAAGT